AAAAAAAAAAACTTAGGCTGTGGTGCCTTGAATTTTTCTAGGGAAAAACTGGGATTACAGAAAATTCTCTAGGCCGTGAAGCCAGATGGATTTGGGTATGCAATGAAGCTCTGCCACTAAGAGTTTGTGGCCTTGGGCAACTTGTTTGACCTTTCTGAACCTCAATTTGTTATTCTGAACATGGCAGGAAAATCTGTAAATATACTGAATTGTTATTCCTTCTTGCTGTTTTACATCCTAACAAGGTAGGTGGATGGTCATGCCTAAGGACGTTAATGGTATGCCACAGAGGTGACAAGGCCCCAGTATGACAAACCCCTCCAAGACTTCTGGAAATGGTTGGGAGCTGTTACTTGGAGTTGCTGAGGCAGAAGGTGCCTGCCTGTGGGAAAGAGAAGAGAGATTCATCCACGGAGATAGGGAAGATGATGATGTTTTTGCTGAGAAGTGTAGGCTAGTTCATAGATATCAGGAAGACTGACTGCAGCTATAGCCTAAGAAGTCATAGGAAGCAATAATGTCCCTGTCAATCATGAAGCAGATGGAGTCACTTGCCTGGGAATTAACTGCATAGCCCTGAACCATGGGCCTGATGACTTAAAGGTTAGAAGCCCTCACATGTTTTCCAGACCCCCTGTCAACTATCTTTGTCCTCACGTATTTTAGAATCCCCAGATTTGACTGGCAGTAATTCTCTTATCATTTAGAGAAGAGACTATGTCTAGATTTACAAAAATAAACTAGTATGTCATTTCTTCTGCCTGAGTGTTATAAAGCAAATTCATCTCTGTAACCTAATATCTAATGAGCAGGATTATTGCTAGAATTAGAGATGATGTACATAAGGCACTTGATACAGTGGCCCGCAAATAGGCATGATGGGAAATTATGAAAAATGTCGTTATGAATAATTTTATTTCCAAATTATGAATTATTATTTAAATTATTTTGTTTAATCACCAAAGCTATCTCCAATCCAAGATTGGTGAAGCTGGAACTGCTTCTCTTTTTCAAAGACTAAATAGTTCATGACATAGATATTAGAATGTCAATGTTGAAACGATTCTCTAGGATGTGGGCTAGGCAACAATAATGAATAGGCACCAAAATGTGAAGACTTAACACAGTGCATAGTTATATCTTACCTATTTAAAAGTCCAGACCGTGGCAAGTCATTGGGTTCTCTGCTCTACATAGTCTTTCTGGGATCCGTGCAGACAGGGTTCTGCCATCTTCAACAGATGGATCTCAAGGCAGCCCTAGGGTTTCTCAGCCCAGTCATCTGAAGAGGAAAGGAACATGGAGGGACACATGGGAAATTTTAGGTGCCAGCCCTGGAGGGTACACATCCTTTCATTCACATACTGTTGGCTAGAACTCAATCAGAAGGCCGTGTCCACCCACAAAAGAGGCTAGGAAATGCAGTCTGGCAATATGTCCAAAAATAAGAGAACTTTTTTTCTTTTTTGAGATGGAGTTTCTCACTGTCACCCGGGGTGGAGTGCAATGGGGCAGTCTCTGCTTACTGCAACCTCTGCCTCCTGGATTCAAGCAATTCTCCTGCCTCAACCTACCAAGTAGCTGGGATTACGGGTGCCCGCCACCACTCCCAGCTAATTTTTTGTATTTTTAGTAGACATGAGGTTTCACTATGTTGGCCAAACTGGTCTTATACTCCTGACCTGTGATCCGGTGGCCTCAGCCTTCCAAAGTGCTGGGATTATAGGCGTGAGGCACTGTGCCCAGTTGAGAAAAGTGATTTTAATGAACAGTTAGCAATCTGTGTCAATTTAGGGATTATCTATTCTGGTCTAATTCTTCATTTAATTGTATGTGGCTCTGGAAGTTGGAGTGTTCTTTGGTATGACTTTTCCAAGTGGGTTTTTTCTTTATACAGAAGTACCTAACACAGTTCTTTTTCTTTTTTTAATTAAAAAAATTTTTTTTTCTTAGCTTTACTGCATTACACAGAGTTCTTATTTAGAACATGGTATGCTTTCGACTAACTCTCCATGTCTTCTTCCACCAGGTATCTTCAAAATCTCATCAGACATATTCCCTTTTATTTTCTCATAATTCATTTATAATGGCCAAGTCTGTTGGATCCAGGAAGTAAAATCTAATTGGAATGAAAGTGGCTTTATTGAGCACTGTTGGGTTTTGACAGCTATAAAATATCCCCATTGTAACTCTTTTGCTGCTTGACCCCCACCCGTTCCCTCTGCCTCCCTATCCCTCTAAGCAACATCATGTGAAGTCAAACATTTCTTGTCCTCCTTTCTAAATTGCATACAACTGGCTAGCAGGCAAATAGGCAGTAAGGTAAAAGCAGAAATTTACATAAGGATCCTATTAATATGCCATACAAATGAGGATCCTGTGGAGAATGTTAATTCATTTCCTATACTGAATGGCCATGGTCACTGTAAATTTTTACCATGGCAAAACCTAACATGGAAGTGGAAAGCTTGGATATACATAAGAGATGGGAATTGACTAAATTTTATAAAGAGAGTTTTTTCGTTTCTTTTTTTTTTAGACAGAGTCTTGTTCTGTTACCCATGCTGGAGTGCAGTGGTGCGATCTCAGCTCACTTCAACCTCTGACTCCTGGGTTCAAGTGATTCTTCTGTCTCAACCTTCCGAGTAGTTGGAATCACAGGCATGCACCACCATGCCCAGCTAAGTTTTGTATTTTAGTAGAGATGGGGTTTCACCATGTGGCCAGGCTGGTCTCAAACTGCTGACTTCAGGTGATCCATCTACTTCCCAAGTGCTGGGATTACAGGTGTGACCCACCACGCCCTGCCAAAGAGAGTTAATTATCATGTACCTTTTCCATGATAATTTAAGTAGAAGACTTAAAGAGTACTCCAACTTTAAAGGTTGTATTTATAAGCTTCAAAATGATTTTCAAGCTTGGATCATTTCTTGAAGGGCAATGGGCGGGGAATTGAAATTTTGTAATGAAATGTTTTAATTCATCAATTTTTAAAATTGAAGATACTTCTAGAGTACTATTGTGAAAATTTATGATTCACATTTTTTTTAAACCCCAAGAACCATAGCTGACAGAGCATAGGTAAGACAGAGCATATGGTCTTTTCATAACTTCCCGGTGGCTGCTTAGTTTTTATTTGTTCGATCATCAACTTATGATTTAACTAAAATTAATTTCATGCCTAGCATTTGCAAGGCACTGTGCCCCGATTAGTAAGGTGGGCACTCATAGGTTCATGAGAAGACAGACATAAAATAATCTCCTTGCACGAAGAGCTACAGTTGAGGCATTTGCAAAATGCTATTGGAATTTAGCTAAGGAGAGACTTTCTCTTTCGAGAGGGAAGGGAGGGCTTCACAGAGAATGAAAAGCAATTTACTTGGTAGAGGAAACAACATCTGGGAGAGATGTTTAGGGAATGGTGAATAGTTGTGTGGCTAACTCATAAGGCATACATTGGGATAAGGTAGAGGAGATAGCAAAAGATGAAGCTGGAAAGAATGGATAAATGTGTTAAATGCCTTTCATGTAATTATAAGGAGTTAAGTTTTATCATGCAGGTTAGAGAAGTTAGCAAACGTTTTTAACATAGTTAATTCTGGGTCAATTAATTAATTACTTCTGCAAACATTTATGAATTGTCTACTGAGTGCAAACTACTTGGCCTTAGAAGTGTAACAGTGAATAAGATGTGGACTCTGCCCAGGGGAATTTATAGTTTGGTGAATGATTACAACTAGTAGAGATGGTTCTAAGGTGTTCTGGAAAGAACTTTAATTGCTCGTATCATCACCCTCTCCCAAATTCACTTCATTTCACCATTAATATTATTATTATATTTTATGGGACTGATGGAAGTTTCCTCAATCTTTGTCAAGTGTTTTTGAAAATACTGCTCTCTCATTGATCTATAATGTAAACCCTATGTGAAAACAATGTACTTCATGGACAAGCAAGAAAAAAAATCTCTCATTCACCCTTTCAATCTCATTGTCCCCTCCTCACACCTGTCCTGTAAAGGAAGCCTGGCATATCCAACAGTGACAAGTTTTACTGTACTCTGAGACAAGTTGCTATAACTATGTGTGCACTGAGGGATACACAGCCCCAAATTAATTGTCCTAGCACAAGGTGGTAAGTGCAGAGAGAGACAAGGTACATCAGAAGCCATCCTGTGGGCACTTAGTGTGTGCAGCCAGTGTTGGGGGTGGGGGCAGGCGGACATTTCAAGCAGAAGGTATGCTTGAGAAAAAGGAGTGGTTTGCTTTGTCTGGAGCTTCAAGTATTTCGGAATGAATGTTTTGTTTGATTCATGAAGGAGAGATTAGAGTCTAGGAGTGGGAGAATTATGTGGTCATCTTGATGAATAAAAGGTTTTAAAGATAGTGCTCAGGTTCATTTGAACATTTCTTCCTTTATGGCCATCCAGTGAATTAAAGTGAGATGTGAGAGGGAGAAAGGAAACCCCTTTAT